CCATTCAAATCTGACATGGATGCCTACCATGGGCATGCGCACCTGCTTGCAATAGTCGGGGTAATTTAATGCATGTCCAAAAATATACTATATTCAACGGAGAGTGTCCGGGTAGGACAAAAGGGTCCATTCGAGAGTGCATTTTTCGGCTTCCATAAAATGACTCCAATTTTTTTTCATGCGCTTATATGATCAATTCAAGTTAGCATGCCAAGGTTTATGAGTTTTCGACAATTCTTGCATTTTTTGGACTTTTCTCGATAAAAAATGACCGAATGTGGTGCAACTTGCATATGGTGTCGGAATTCATTTAAATCTGACATGAATTCCTACCATGGGTATGCCCACATGCTGGCAAAAGTTGGATTCATTTTATACATGTCCAAAAATAGATCATCTTCAACAGACGGTGTCGGGCTTTCTCGGGCCTAGGTTTTTAGCACTGGGCTTTTTTTGGCCTGGCCTGAAGCCTGGCCCGGCTCGAGATATGCCCAGGTATAGGAGAGATATATGGTAACCGATACACTGTGATTACCCAAAAGAGGTGATAATCATCCATTTAATACTGCATTAACCGAATATCGTTTTTTATGTTTTGAAGATTGGAAAAAATTAATGCATTAAGTCCAGCTAAAATTACGGGGTAATTAAATACTCCCTCCGTCCCAAAATTCTCCCCTCTATATAAACTCCAGCAGAAGGGGATGTCCTTGAACACATTAACAAGAAGATCAAACATCCAAAAAATAGCAGCGATAGTGGTAGCCTTACATCTTGTCATGGCGTTTTGCAAGAGAAACACAAGCATTGCATGCCTGGCAGCCGTGATGGTGGTGATGGCCACCGTGATGCTTTCTTGTGACGCTGAAAGAGGTGGGTAGACAATTAAGTACTCCCTTCGTCTTGCAAAACGATCTTAATTATATTATGAAAATATAGTCGTGTTGATATATTTTTCCATTGTAGATTACTGTGTTACGGTTTATGATGTACCATGCACGCGCGACAAGTGCGTGCCTCTATGTGCTCAAACTGGTTTCACAAAAAATCCCCACTGCTTCACCGAAGACAAGTGCTGTTGTCAGATGGACTTGGAGCCCATGGTCGCCGCAGTAGGTCGTGATTAATCGCCCGCGCTGATAATGATAGTTAAACTTTGAATTTTCTTGTCAGATTACTATCAACATGTTCTCGCTATGTGTATGAATTAATTAATTATCAAAAGATAAATGTATGGCATTTTGCTTCTTCTTTTTTTGAGAAAAATGTATGGCACTTTGCTTGTGGACCGAGAATCGCTTATGTCTCGGTCCGCTAGACCTAGCGATCTACCCCCACGCTTAACGTATAAAGGGTTCGCTCATTGTATACACTTTCGTATGTTTTTTTTTTTTTGAGAAAGCACTTTCGTATGTATGGTCGGGTGGGTTGCCCGTCGTTTACGCCGTAGTTCGGGGAGCCCAACTGTGTGAATAAACTTATCCAAGCGTCCTTGGCTCGGCCCATTAATGTTTTTAATATTAAAAAATAGATGCGGCTATTGAAATTCAAACTTATTACCTCTTTGTACCGTCTAGTGGCAGTAACCAACTGGGACAGCTTTGCGCGACTGTGCCCACTACAACTATTCGGATGTTCATGTGCTAAAAGACTCGTGTGAACAACCTAAGTTTTGTCTGGCAGTTTTTCTACTGCTTGTTTTCTCTTTCTCCTTCTTTGTTTCATTTTCTTTTCTGTTTTTAAATTGACATTTTTCTCCTAAAATTATGGACTTTCCTTAAATTCATGAACTTCATTTCAAATCCGTGTATAATTTCTTAAATTCGTGATTTTAAAATCCATAAACTTTTTTTCAAACACATGAACGTTTTCCCAATCCATGAACTTGTCTCAACTTATACATTTTTCTAAAAACTGTGAACCTTTTGAAATCCATGAACATTTTTAAAAATATCATTGAAATTATTTAAAATCCATGATTTTTTTTAAAATCTATGAAAATTGAAATTTTCATATTCTTTTTCAAATGTCATGAATTTTCAAAATTTTAAAATTTTGCGAAATTTGTGAACTTATTTTAAAAATTGGTGAACTCTTTTCATATTTGCAAACTTTTTTCAAATTTGTGATGTTTTTAAAAATTCATGAACCTTCATCAAATTACTCATTTTATAAAGGATGATGATATCTGCCACACGTGTGGCAGGGAGGGAGGCGCACCACACGTCTCTATAGCAAAACAAATTGCCATGTCACCGTATGCATGCATGTGAGAATCTTTTTGAATTTCCAGTTTTTAAACTGTTTTATCTCTTAAATGAAAAATCCGAATGAAAATCCGTATTCACCACTAAATCCATCGTGACGAGATCTTCAAAACTAGTTCTTATATCGATATGTTTCGATGACTTTTTTTTGTTAAACATTCCTTACACAATCGCACTATGTTTTATTCCTATGCATGTCAGTTATTATATACAATGGTATTGAACATGTAGATAAAAGGAGACGCCCCTTGCATGGCAATAAAATGTCATGCAGACGTCGCTCCATGGTGGGCGCAAGGGCAGCCCCCTCCCCCATTCCAGATAGTAATAAAGAGAAAGATAACTGTTCAGAGGGGGATACAGAGGGAGCAGACCACTCCTATTTACCTCTTGAGGTCTTTGCTCTAACTTGACATGCTGATGTTTGTCATATCATGCATATGGCGTCTTGCATTGCTTACTTTATACATCAAATATGTTATCTGCTTAGTTTAGATATGCTTTATGTGAATGCCATTTAGTTTCTATATTTTAGTTTCTATATGTTTAGTTTCTATATGGCGTCTTGCATTTGCTATGGCGTCTTGCATTTGCTATATGTTTAGTTTCTATATATATGAATTATGCAATTCCACTTTGTTTAGCCACGCATCATATATGTGAATTCTGCATTTCTACTCTACCATAATAGTATAATTCTACTCAGGTGTCAAGTGAATAGGCGATAAGCAGATCAAGGTAATGTGTCAATCAACACGCTAGCTACAAGAATTAAAATAGCATGCATGTAGTAACCATTAAACACAATGCAATTTTGTAAAACATAGGATAAGTATGATCAAAGAAGGAGGCATGCCTTCGTTGTCGAGTCCTTCCTGAGTAACATGTTCAGTCCTTGTCCAACATCGTCAATCCCTACTCGTCGTAACGATAGCAAACGACAAACAATAAATACCAAAGCAATAGCAAATCCAAATGACATGCAAACAATTCAAGAGTGGATGGATAGCAAGATATTGATCAAGATGGAGACTCTGAAAGGAGATAGCATGATTGGAAGGTAAGAGATAGGATTCAATGAAGTGATGGGATTTAAGTTGACACGGTTAAGGAAGGTTGTTTGATCAAGACTAACGTTCCAATACGAACTATGGTACTAACCACTAGTAGTGCCCACTACACATCTCAACTAAATAGGAAACTACCATATAACAAACACAATGACATCAACACACATGGAATGGAACCAACGTATGCATTTTAACAACACAATCACAACATGACATGATAAGGGTAAAAGGTAACCACAAATAAATATTTGATGGAATCTAAATATTTATAATGGCAATAGAATCCAAACATATACATTAACTCTATAATAACTCCAAACAAGTGTTCTATATGACAATGAAAGCAACATTATAAAACATACTAGTTAAACAACCAAACATCATTCAACAACATGTGAAATGATCTAGGTCTAGCGCTAAAATATTATTAAAACAAAATAGGATCAACTCTATTATAACAAACCAATTCATTTGTCAAACAATTAACAAGAAACTATACAACACATGGAACAAATGGATGAACAGCTATCCTAGGCATGATGTGATTAAGAGTAACAATCAACCAATAATAAATATTTGGATTAATCCACATACTTATAATGGTTAGCCACAAGCAAAGACTAAACATCAATCTTAACAATTATTAGCAAGCATTTCTATAAAAGAAGACAAACCAATACTAAGGTAGAAACTAATTAAACAACTTAATAATAACACACATCTCACACAAGGCATATGAGTATAGAATCACTAGATGTCTAAATGAATAACACAAGCATCACACATACGGGTGAACATGATAAGATACTAAACTAGAATATGCTCGTAATAATAAAGAACAACTAATGCCCAAATAACCACTAGTAATAATATTATAGGCGCATGCTTAAATAAGAGATAAAACTATGTACACTAAGCATATGAGAAAGATACAACTCAACTAACATACGGAGCACAATAAGACATGAAAGATCACTATCATGACAACATGTATAGGTTAGGCATACCACAAATCAAAGAGTAAGATAAATAAGATATAATGCTAAGCATAGGGATGATCATGACACGAGCTACGTGCAAATGGTTCCAATACAATTCAAATTATAACTACAACATAAGTTGCTAGATAACAACTAACATAAATATCAAATAAGGTATTATCACACCGTACTATCATGATATGTGACATATAAGCAGAAAGGAGAATCATAATACGCATGTAAGCAAGTGAACATCTATCATGGCATCAACAACATCAAGCAATGAAATATCATAGCATTGATTCTCCCAATGCTTGTCTTCCAAACAGACCATTTAATCCAAGCAGAAATGGCAAGGAAGGAAATGGCGTAAAATCATGTTATTACTGGACTAGCATAAAGAAATGATCAATCTACAGGATCAAACAAACCACTTTCGTACAGCCAACTGCTACAGAGAATTATGTAGGCTGATTATGTACAATGGCCAATTGCCAAGTGTTTGTTAGGATTCACTCAAGAATCAATCAACCCA